GGCTCAACACTCCCGCCACATTGAAGGATGGGATGAGGGAAGCAGCGAGGAGTGCGAATAGGTCACACTAAATCAGTTATACATAAATAAACAGGACAATTCTTTTTTCTTTTCAGTTTCCGGCCTGTCTTTAGCCACTTTTCTTCTTGTGCTTACTTAATCTTTTGTGGATAGACCGACAGGTATCACCAAGGTAAGGTCGATCACAATAGTGTAATAGCCTGATCCTGAGTCATATTTCTCGTTAAAGAATGGCACAATCGAAGAAAGTGACAAAGTTACTTTGAAAACAGGTTATATCCCCATCGTCCGCACTAGTTCGTCTATCTTCTTATAAATAAAAATTGATTACAAGATTTGCACATTTGAAATGCTCTCCGCTTGTCTATCTCTGGCCAAACAGTCTCTGTCTTAAAGTTAATTCCTGACTAAGGAGCTATTATTGCCAATTATACCTAAACGATAATTTTTTCCATGAATAAATGTTTCAGCCTTCTTAACTGTCAGATTATTTCTATCAGTCAGTCTCATTCTCCAGACTAAAAATTCCAACCTTGGTTTTGCAGCTATAAATAGAAATTTTTTTAGAACATATGTAAAAAAACTTGGTTTCGATTAATCACTTAATAGAATAGTGTGGAAATACCTTACATTTCGTTTGAAGAGGCGAGTGGAAGGGTTTCGTAAGTTGGTAGCTTTGCAGCTGTGGTTTTAGATTTGTGCGAATAGGTCCTCGGCACACACCCTGCGACCCCGATGAATCCTTGCTGAGCTTTCTTGCGTCATGTAACGGACATCGTATGAGCAGGATACCATGAGAGACGGATTCTACCGAGGAGGAACTACGGTAAAAAGATTGCCGACTAATAGGGCAGACTTGTATCCAAATTTCTAGCACAAAGGGTATTGAGGGAATCAGTGGGGAGTGTGAAAATATCTCACTTAATCCATTCAATAGGGCACACCAGGACCATATTTATCTAATCAATTAAGAAATTGTGATAGTGGAGGAGTGATATTAGAATATAGGATGGGGAATACCTGAGAACAGAAGGAGAGATACCCTAATTATTCGTAAGAAAATTGATCAAAGGATCGATTTCACTTGCCTCTGACGAAACATGTGGGAATGTACCAAATCCCCGTCATACTCTTAAAATTATCATGCATACTATAGACTCCGGACAGAGGGCGTTCCTCCAATTCTTCCTGTCAATATAGTCAAGTTGCGAAAGCAAGGTCAAACAACATATATACTTATGCTTCATTGAAGTAATTAAGGTGTATTAGGGTATTAAGCCACTAATCAAAATAAGGCTCGTCAATTTAGTTGCATTCACATTGATTTAACAGATCTATTTAACTCATCATCCATAACAAAAGTACGAGATTACGCAATCCCAGTCATGCTTTGCCTCGGGTCATTAAACTTCGATGATCCCAGAGTAACTGGTTGGCTGGTGGTTTCCTAGCCTAACCTAGACTTACTTCTCATCAATTTAACCAGCTTTATGGGCATATTCGATCTTGATCGTGCTATTCCCTGGGTCATTAAACCCTGGTGTCTCGGAGCTTACGTTAGGTTCCTATGTAATTAGTCTAAATTGTGGCTTATATTACACATACATATTAAAGCATGCATACACACAGGCGTACTAACTATACCATTCAATATCCATCGATGTTTAAATAGTTTTTGTTAATAGTACATATATCAAGTAGGATAGAGTCGGACAATTCTTGATTTAATGTTTACAAGATACTTTTACAAGAATGATTTCCAGCTTTTATGATGTTCGTCATATGAGGAACGAAAGCTCAGCCAATTTTCACCTTAAAGAAGAAAGGATGTTATGTGAGTTGTATTAGCCTGAACGTCATATTAAAGCTATAAAGCTACAGAACAACGGGAATGGACCATCGTCTTGTGAAATTGACCAACGAACCTCTTCATCATAAACTTTTATACCAAATGGAAATGTCTACAAAAATATTATCCTAAGAGATACTTCGAACGACATTTTTCTTTGTATAAAATGCCATTATCATCTAATGGAATGATATTCTTATTTTTGTTTGGTAAAGCGATTTTTGGAGCTTAAGACTCAAAAGGCTATTTTTGAATGATAAATCATTTATTTAATGCAGGAGACGACGCCAGTAATAATGTCGGCACTACTCCTTGTCCCTCAAGAAGCTTCACTCCAGAGCCAATAGTTGCGTCATTTCAGCGGGCGGCTCGTGAGGGAATACATAGAACTGTCCACGCCGGAGAAAATAGCCCAGCCTCAGCTGTCCTGGAGGCTATCGAAGAGATGCAGGCAGAGAGAATTGGTCACGGATATTCGGGCCTACTGGATAATCAGGTGTATCAAGCAATTCTACTTCAGTCGAAACCCGGCATACACTTCGAGGCATGCGATATATGTTCGTTTTTTTAACATGTTTGGATTTAGGTTATATTTATTATATACAATAGCTTCTTTTAACTTCTCAAGTCTGACTTTAGGGCCTGTATTTTCTAGGAGGACAAAATAAGCTGTGATTTTCACATTAGATTTGGATTTAGGCAGACTATGCTTTCAATATTACCAAACAGGGCGCAAATGGCTTTTGTTCAAGATGCAATTTAACTATCCACAATTTTCGTCTTGGTAATCAGCATAAAGATATGTTAAAAAAATATTTTATTAAGTTTACGTAAATTGCTGCATCTATTTATTTTATGCTTCGCTTGCACACAAATTGGGTTTGGATAAGCATATAAAGTTCTGCTTTCTCCCAAACTCAAGTTCATATTAATTTTTATATAATTTAATATTTTTAATTGATTTTTAAAGATCTCAATCTATAATAATAAGTATCTGACTCCTGACACATTTGCTGTTGATATTCTCAGTCATAGTATGTGGAGTTAGTTGATGAAGAGTAAGATCAAATTTATTACAACTGGCCCGACTAAATTGCACTGTTGGGAAAGCCTCAGCTATGAGTAATGATTTAAACCCATGGACCTTTGTGTTCGTATTTTATCATAATAACTTCAATCTTCGAAAAAAACATTTATATTTATAAATGCAGCATGTATTTGCTTTGATTTTATACAGTTTGCACGTCACAAAGCATAGTTGGAAGGCTAGTGAACTGATCAGACATGCAAGCGAATATTAAGGAATTAATCTAGGTATAAGCATGATGAATAAGTCTGCAAGAACTTAAATTGGGAATGCATTAACTTACGTACGCACAGTTGGTAAAGATGATACACTTCAGTGAGTGGCTGTGTTTAATGATAACTATACATGAACGAACTCAATTTGCGTTTAGTTGAGAATTTTGTTTTTGACCACGTGATGCCTTTATTTTGGGATCAGATATTAGAGTCTGGGGCCAACTGTCTTAATTATCATATTTTTAGACTAGTTGGGTTTTAAGGCAGTCTCTAATATTCCATCCATCCTTAGTAGAGCGTTACATCCTACCAAAGTTACAGGTGAAAGCAATCCCTTTTACCAATTTTCTGTTCAACCATTGTGGTATCACTCCTTGCTTCTCGTGCTGCATCTCACTCACTCAAACCCACTTCATATGGCCACGGAATAATTTGAATAGGTAAATGGGCCGAATGAAGTGGAGTTGAGAGATGCAGTACGAGAAAGAAGGAGGGATGCCACAACGGTTGAGCATAAAATTCGGTCAAGAAGATTGCCTTCACTTCTAACTTTGGTTAGTTGTAACGCTCTAATAAGGATGGCACCTCTCACTAATGATGCCAGCCAAACGTCTGAAAAAATGTACCGAGTCAAGGTTCCAATGCTAGAAGTCTTTATGAATACTCGGACAGAAGAATCAGGAATATGTACGTTCCATAAGACCTCCCTGTATCCCTGACCAAGTTGCGAAAACGAGGTCAAAGCAAGATTATAGCTACGAAGGGAAATTGGGTTTCGATGAATCTCTTGAGATAACATTGTTGTAGCGACGTTCATTTCGTATGAAAGTGCATGAAGAAGAGATTGGTTGGTCGATATCACCAGATGAGGACGGATGATGTCCATCGTGATGAGCGAAAGCTCAGCCCATTTTCACCCAAAATGAGGGAGGTCTCGTGAACTGGGCCAACCTAAACGTCATATAAAAGCCAAACGGCTGCAGTACAACGGGATTCATCAGTCCTTTTCTGGTGAGATCGACGAACGAATCTCTTCTTCATGCATTTTCATACAAAATTAAAAGTCTCCCTAATAAAGTTTAGTGCTTTTCTAATAACTCTCACTAGTCCGAATGCTATAATTGGCTGTCTGGTTTGTCAAACTGGTCAATCATGCTATGATATCCTAATACAGGTGAATTTTTTGTTTTTCACAGCTAATTTACTATCATTTACATGAAATTTAGCACAGAATAGTTCACCACTACCACGACTGACAGGATGCCATCCTATTTTTTGTTTATAAAATGTTTAGGCTTTAAGCTCCGTGACTTATCACAGAATATCAATTTTTTCAGATAGCAGTGGCGCCTAGATATCGCCTTATCGTACTCCGATAATGAGTACAAAGGGCTTCGATAGGTATCACTAGAATTTTTCTCTATTTCCACTATGGATGCCACTGGTAAAACTAAAATTCAAATAAATAAACTTAACAGTCAACAAAGTCCAAAGAGCATGATGATTGGCCAGTCTTTGTAAATATCTTCAAATTATATTTTTTTTAGAAGCGCATAGGATTTGTTGTCTATTGCTCATCCCAGAAAAAAATATCATTCAACTCTTTTTGACAGTAATCTTAAGAGCTCTTCATGATTTGCCATAGTAATCGACGACATTACTTTTTGTGTGAGTGAATGTATATCTGATTTACTGGTAGTCTCG